TCGGTTCCCGGTACCGGAGGAAAAAAAAAAAAAAAGGTAACCAAATGGCATCCAGACACGCACGTTGAGATTAAGAAAGAAATTTGAAATTAATGTAATGTAAACTTGTATCAGATATTTGATTTTTCTTTATATCATTCTATCTCAGTTTATCTCCAGGAAGAATAGGTGTTCCTTTGTGTGTACCCTTACCACCGAAGACAACAATATGTAAATCAAATTATTTCCTCACTCAGGGTAGAGTTCCTGAAAAGACTGTCCATGCTATGGAGGTTTCACTGCCCCTTTCTAGTCATATCTTCTGTGAGGTTTAGAGATGCATGATTCCATACGTAAGGCAGCCACTGTGTTGATTATGTTCTCTCTTCCTTTCTCTGTCTCTCTCTTTCTTTCTTTCTCTTTCTTTTTTTCTTTCTTTCTTTCTTTCTTTCTTTCTTTCTTTCTTTCTTTCTTTCTTTCTTTCTTTCTTTCTTTCCTTATTTCTTTCCTTCTTTCTGTTTTTGGTACCGGGAATTGAACTCACAACCTTGAGTTTGCCAGGCAAGTACTGTGCCATCCATGTTGTTTTCTTTAGCAATCTTCTGAGACAGGATTTGCAAATGAGCACCAAATTTCCTCAGAACAGAAAGATCATTTCACTTTTTCTGGATATTCTACTGTGACAATTCAGACAGAGATCAAATTTACTTTGGATAACTTTTTTTTCCATATATGGGTTTCGTACTACAAGTTTTAAGTTCTGGACTTCACCAGTTGCTCCTATTAAATATATATCGTTGGGTTTGGGCCACCATTTGTAATTTTACAAGATCGTTTGAAATATTTGCTTCTTAGAAATGTTTACTAGTACTTCATTACTTGAGTCTGAGAAGAGGAACTCAGCAACAGGCCCATACTTTTAGGCCATGGTCATTTAATAAGTTGTAAATTTACCTTCTGGTTCTCAATCTCTATTTATCTATTTTGTTTATATCCATGTCCTAAGGTAATTTTTTTTTCTTTTTGAGACAGGGTCTTGCTATGCAGTTCAGGCTGGCCTTGAGTTCACTTTATAGCCCAGGTTGGCCTGGAACTTGCAACAATCCTCCTGCCTCAGCCTCACAAATGCTGGGATTACAGGTATGAGGTAACTTTATCCTCAATTTTGTGTTTAGCATCTCCTTCTTTTAAAAAAATTGCCACTGTCACCCAAGTAAGTATTCCTAAATTATATCTTGAGTAGCATCTGCTTGTATAATTCACTTTTCAAATATGAAGTAGGTGACATCAGACATGTTTTCTTAGTGCTCAAAAGATGGTAGATATCTATGAGGACCAAACAGAGACAGAAAGCTAATTTCTCTTGGAAGACTCAGTGGCAGCATATTTGCCAATTTACTTCAGCTCGGATCAACCATTAGATTCTGAAATGTCTTTAAAGATTATATCAAGGACAGTTTATCCTATACCAACACCTTGGTGAAGTATGCCTTTATTTTGATGTTAATAAGATACATATTTTAATAATTATTTTACTGATGTTAATACACTATCAGAAAATAAAATATTTAATTCAACAATTAAAGAATAATTTTCACCATTCTGCCTAAAAGTATGGAAATGTGCATTCACAGGTGAAGAATTATATTGTTTATTTATGTGTTTAAATTGAGTGTAAAACATAAATACCAAGTTTCAGATACCCAGATCATAATTAATTGAGATCTTCTTGTTTGAATTGTACAAAGTCCTGTATTTCTTTTATAAGATCTTTATTTTCCCTGACCAGCCAGCTTCCTGCTAATGTATTTATTTATTGATTCATTTCTAACCTATTCAATTTTATCCTCTCATGAACTCTATCATTCCTGAACTCACAATTTTTTGGCATCTGCCTTCATGTCATGCTTGTCTCTACAAGTCTTTCATTCTTGCTTTGTCCAGAATATAGAATATATTTAATTTCTAGGTTTTAGGAGTCCAAATTGGAACCTTCTGAGGAAACTCTGGCCAGATCTAAAATAAGTTGTGTGATTGCAAGGAGAAAGATGCAAAAACTTCAAGAATAGAGTGACAGATATAGAGACAGACAAGGAAGAAGTGAGATGTGGAGAAGGTGGCGGTAAGTCTTAGTACAAGATGAATAAATAGGAATAAAACTAATTCTAAAATCAAAGGACGTCTACACTAACCACTTTTGAGAAACAGAAAATTTAACTATTTGACTTCTTTCCAGTCTTCATGGAAGACCCTGGACTTTGGTTGACTGTAACTCAAATTTAGTTATTTATGTTATTTATGGATTGTTTTCTGGAGCTTGCTTGTGAATAACATCAGCAGCTTCTGCTTAGGTAGAGTTTCGTGCAGCTTGTAATAGAAATAATTGGTGATTTTGTCCAGTGCCTTAGGTGTTTATATGTCACTTTCGTATAATTTATGCACTTGTGGCATCTATTCAATTAGATTGTAAACCCCTGTTTGTCAGAGTAGGACTTTGATTCTGGGTTGTTATGTCTTGTGTCTGGCCTCATGCATTTATAAGTGGGCTTTTTCAGAGGTGGCTGGGTCGAGAGTGTGTGATGCTGGGATTAAGGGTGTGCAGTTAGTAAATTAGTCCACTGATTGCCTTGGCATAGTTCTGAGTGTCAGTGCTACCCACACTAAGGGCAGAAGCCAGGTAGCCTAGTTCGAATATAAAAGGGACCAAAGGAAGCTGCTCTTGTTGCTTACTTGCTTTGCTACCTTCTGCCCACCATGAACTGTTTCTCCTCTGCCATGCCTGTGTGCCATGCTACCCTGCCTTAGAACCAGCTGATTATGGACTGAAATCTGTACAAACTGTGAGCTAAATAAACCCTTCCTCCTTTATCTTTGGGTATTAGGTATTTTGTCTCAGCATCAAGAAAATCAACTAAGATGGGGCACTTGTTTTAGTTATTGAACATTAAGTAAGTATTCATGAAAAAGTAATTGCAGAGGCACTCTGGAATAAACTGATAGAATGGAAAGAAGGAGTATGGTTTCTCTATCACAAAGCTGTCACTTTAGTTGGATCATTATACCTGTAATTCTAGCACTCTGGGAGCTGAGGTAGGAGGATCGCTGAGATTTCAGGGCCAGTCTGAACTACATAGTGAGACCCTGTCTCAAAGCAAAATAACCAAAACCCCTGCAAATTTGTCACTTCACTTTTAGCTGTCATGACTGTCATCATCTTACACTGAGCTGATCTGAATTCTGTGGGTTGTTATTGGCCTGTTTGCCTCACTTTAAGCTATTTTATGCTGTGAGGTACACTAAAGCCAATGGGTGACTGGGAGCTGTGACTAATCCGACTCCAGGGTGAATGAAGCCTTTTGTGTCAATGATTTCTTTGGAAATCTGAGGAGAATGAGGCCCCAGGAGAAAAAAAAAACAAACCATGATTCTACATATTTATCCATATTCTATAAATTTATCAACATTGATCTTGATTCCATATATTTATCAACTTTCATTCTCAAGTGTGGTTACAGTCAACAAATACTCAGTATAGCTGGAGAATCTCTGATCAGTTTAGGTTGGGAGCAGATGTCCTGGGCATCTCAGGGAATTGATGTGGGTCCTGGAAAACTCCCCAGGTATAGAGGTGTCCATTTCCTACTGTGAGAGAAATGAGGCCCATACTAAGGCTGCTTAGTTGGTGTTTCTCCAACTTTAATGTGTTTAATTCATCTTGCGACCTTATCAAAACACAGATTCTTGGGTCTTCCCTCAAAGATACTGAGAAAGTAGGTCTTTGCTGGATTTTGGGGAGCTGCCTTTTAGAAAGCTCTCAAGTATTGTTGTCCCACAAGTTTAAGGCCCATGCTTTGAATAGAGCTCCCCTAAGCAGTGATTGTGCCATGATTAATTCAATCAGAAAATTGGAATGCCTGCTATGAATATCCATGGCCAAAGAATGCACCCATGCAGTTCTGACCTCAGGACTGCAGAGGAAGAGAAAGGACATACTTACCTAGCCAAGAAGCTCCATCAACTCTGGAAATCTGTGTTCTGATAGATGACACAGGTGGGACACCTTTCTAGCCAAAAATCAAGGCCATGATAGAGAGACAAATTGTCTATATACAGAATGGAATCCTCATCCACATAACCCAGGTGCAACAAATACGTATTAATGAAGGTCAAATTGGCTGGTGCTTTGGTCATTGGTGACTAGTTATTTCTGTGTGAGCTCAAAGACAATCTTTTGGTGTAGAGCTATGACTGAGACTCAGGTTTTGAATGCAGTCTTTTGCAGTGGAGTCCCTTAGCTGCTGTTTCTTAGTTGTGTTTTTGTAGCTTGTCCACACCTCATTTTTTTCACATGAAGATAGGACATTAATAAGATCATTTTTCCATATTGTTGTGAAGCTTGTATCATAGCACTTATCACCATGCCTGACACTTCAAAGTGACTCAGTAAAGGTTGATGATTATGCCTCCAGCAAGATAATTTATTTTCTTTTCTTTCAGGATATCTACTGACTTCATTAGAATGAGGATTTTCTTATGCTATATTTTAGTGTGGCAAGTGCAAAAAATATCACAAGAAATTTTAAAATAGATTTATTTGGATCACAGTGTATACATTCTATTAAGATAGTTTGTTTATCATTTGCATGTTGATAACACATCAGTAGCTAAAATTATCTTGAGACACTGCTTCTAAATTTTCATTCTAATTTAGGTAGAATTTTATCTGACAAATGACAAATTCTGATGAAACCAGAACCTTGGTCATTTCTGATATCTACATTTCCATGTATCTCTTCTGGGACATCTTCACTGACATCAGATTGAGTTCTCAGAATACATCTTGGGTTAATCCATTATTCATTCATTCTGTCCCCTCTTTACAGAGCCCATTTTTATTGTCATGGGGCTATCTATTCAATGACAACAATCTCTTTACTTCATTTCAGTCATTTTCAGTTAATGTAATATCAGGTTTATTCTGGCTTTGACGCTGTTGAAAAATAAAAAAAAACTATTTAATAAGTGATTTTTCTGGCTCAGTTTGCTTTTGCATCTCTTTGTTTCTGAAATTTAGTGAGTGAAACATTTTTATTTAAAAATATATCATTGGTGTCACATGCATGACTGACTTTAAATGTATGCCTGAATCCTTCCCAGCAGACTAAACTGCTTAGACAGCAAGTGATGCTTACAGAAAAAAACAAAAAAAGGTACACACGTCATCTTTGAACTTAACCTTCCTATTGCAGACAAGTAGATGTTGGCAAGAGATCATAAATAAAACCAGTCTCTGTGGTCTATATTTTCCACACATCTTGCCAGGCCAGGGAAGGTATCTAAGATATCACTCGCTTTCATCCTTTCTTGGTCTTTGGCTCTTCCTGCCTGCAGTACTCACTTTCCCTGTATTCACTTTGAATCAGTCTCTCTGCCTCTCCAGTTACTGTGGCTGCATTATGAGTCATGGAAACTACTCCAGTCTTGTCTGTTTATCCTTCCAGCCATATCCTGTTATCTGTCTGCCTTTCAGCTGCCCTTGTGTAACAAGATACTTTTTCATTTGCCTTCCATGTCTTTTTTTTTTCTTGTTCAAATTTTCCATCTTTGAATTCCCAGCTCCCACCACAGTTTTTAAAATTTTAAACAGCTTAATTATGTTTTTTTGTGCTTACCTTATTTTTATGTATTTATTTTATTTTAAAGAGAATAGTGAAAAAAAGAACAATAGCCAAATACAAACAAAACAAAGCAAGGACATTAAAAATGTTACAGGATTTCAAACCAAATGATAGGGATTAACAGTGGTTGTTATATTACCTATTGTTATCTTCAGTGAAGTTGCTCAGATTATCATATGTAAGAATGGAAGATTGATCAAACCATTACAGAGAGTAAGAAAATAATAATTTAAAAAAACATTAAAGACAATACACAGCTTCACTAGACAAGATGGTAGGAATTCACCAGTGGTTGTTATACTGCAAATTGCTGTCTGCATATCAGTTGCTCAGATTACCAGATATAAGCATGCAAAATTGGTCAAAATTTTAAAAATATCAAGCATTAACTGTTCCTTTCAATAAACCACCAGACATCAGCAGTATAGTTATCCCAGTTATCTATATCTATCTATCTATCTATCTATCTATCTATCTATCTATCTAGTTCTTTCTTTTTCTTTTTTCCCTCATCCCAGTGGTTCCTTCCTTTGAGCAGTTTCTTTCCCTTTCACATTATCTAGTGTGCCTTTTGGGTTTTATTTACTCTTTCAGGTTCTGTACCGTAGATAATATGAAAGGGAAAGAAATTGTTTAATTATGTATAGTTATAATTTGATTAAATAAGTGTTTCTCTGTGCTATGAACTATGTACTAGTGTAAGGTGTTAAATTTAGTTACAGTTAATGTTTCAAATCTTAGTCATTTTACAGGATAGAGCAAGGTATTTGTTTAAAAACTTGATTTTTGTTTCCCTTAACAATCTTGCTATTTTGATGACTTCTACGGAGCTCAGTTATATCTAGTACCTTTGATTGATTTTCCAGTGTTCAATACAATGTCATTGATATGATAGGGTAGAGACACACACAGAACCAGACCAGACCTTCTGACATGAAAGGAGTCTTTACTGGGGGGAGCGATATGGTGGGCTACCCAGCGGACTAGGACAGCCCCAAGCTGAGCAAAGCATGGGGTTTTTAAAGCTAATTTTCAAGGAGGGTGTGTGTGGGCCAGAATATTTTTGGGGAAGGGATGTCCATGGGCCAGAACAGCCTGATTAGGAGGTGTCTGTGGGTTAGAACAGCCGGAGCGAGAGGTGTCATTCATCAGAGCTGAAAGTCTAGTTCTGCCAAGACAGATGAGGGTGAGGTTGGCTTTTCTTGAGGGGAACTGGAGGGGACCAGGTGAAGAGGAAGGAGTTTATATTAACTTCCAAATAAAAGAGCTTATACCTCTCACAGAGGGGGCTGTGGGTGCCTTGTGACTTATCAGTCACTGGGCTGTCACTTAAGTGCCAGTTCATTGTGATATTGGTTGGAAAAATGCAAGCTGTAAGCCAAATCTAGCCTAACACTTCCTTTTGTAAATGAGGTTTAATGGGTCACCACATACTCATTTCATACTAGATAGGAAGAGTGGAATAGTTTGGTGAAAAGAATTTGACCTGCAAAGCCTAAGCCCTTAAAAAAATGATCACATCCTTGTGGACCATGTAGAACACTAAATCTGGCAAATTTTTGTGGCAGGTCTTCAAGTGAAGCTTAAAAGATGACTACTCCTTAACTATCTTCTCCTTTAAACATATAAAAAAAATTTAAACTATAAAATCTCATACTAACTCATAGGAAAGGCCAAATTGTCTTCAGAAATACAGAAGTCATTTACAGATGAGTAGGTGTGCCAGATAAAATATAGGATTCCCAGTTAAGTTTTAATTACAAGTAAACCACAAGAATGTTCCAGCATGTCTCCCATCTCACACTTTTGTTTGCTAACTCTGGCAATCCTACATATAAAGAAGGCAGAGAAGAAAAAAAGAGAAAAAAGGTTGGTACAAACTTCACTGGGCAGTGTGGGAAGTTGTCAGCTTATTAACAACTTCTAATGTGTTCTCTGATAATCATCCAGAGTTGTCCAATTCAAACTCACACTTCCAGTCAGTAATGGGAGGCTTCTGTTCTTCTTTGTAGCCAGTTATTTGGCATAAAGACAATCTACTGTCCAACCTGGGAATCTGTGCTATTTATTAGCAGTTTGAAGTTTTCCACTGTACACAGTAAGAGTGCTTTCCACAGGAGATGGAGGAAAATTACGCAGTAAGACTTGTATAACTTTGATGTAGTCACAAGAGGGGGCAGTTAACAAAATGGCTGACCTGGGAATTGGTGAGAGTCCACTTGTTTACAAAATGGCTGACCAGGAAATTGCTGAGAGTCTCTTTGTTTACAAAATGGCTGACCCAGGAACTGGTGAGAGTCTACTTGCTCTAATATTCTATCTGTAAGAAACAGAAGGAGGAATTTAATTGTAATTAGGAAACACTAGAAAATCCTGGAGGTTAAGAGAAAGCAACATTTATTTGGCAGAAAAGTAAAATGCAAAAAATTCCATATTTGAGGCAAAGCTTTGCTTAGGTACGTCTTTAAATACTTAACAAAGCCTGTGATCACCATCTTTCCCATGCTCATTTTACTTTTCTACCTCAGTTGCATTTATGTGTGCTGATCAGCACATTTCTCTCAGCTGTAGTTGTTAACTAACTTGCTGAGTCACCTGAAGTCAATAGATTTATCTTTTAATCCTTGGTTTCTCACTTGCAGAAAGCTGAATTACATTTTAAAGTATGAAAATTATCAAAATATGAAAGTGATTACTTGTTCCGCATTTGGTAACTATAGCAGACATCATCGAAAGTTACCTGCAATGGATGAGACAGGTTCCCAGCTAATGTTCATAGATTCAGTTAAGTTTAATGGAATACTGGCTTAATACCTTATGTTTGTTTACTTCTGGGGAACTTTTATGAAATACTTGTACATCTGAAGCTCTATTACATACTTTATAAAGATATTAGCTTCCTGATAGTTTCTAATTTTTTCAGAGAAAATTTTAAATTGATATTAACTCTTATTATAAGATGTTTGGTTTAGTAATAGATACCATAACAAAATGATAGGAATTAACAGCAGTTGTTATATTACATATTGTTATCCTCAGTGAAATTGCTCAGATTACCAAATGTAAGAATGCAAGTTTGATCAAACCATTAATGAGAATAAAAAATAAAAATAAATTCTTTTTTTATTATTCTCTTTTTAAAAAGAGTAATAGGCACCATAGGAAAAAAAATCTAATTTTTTGGGAGGTTTTGATGCAGTAATTTGTCAGACAGAAAAAAATACACATGGTATTTATGGTACAAATCAAGAAGAAAAAAACTAACCCTTCCTGTGCGTAACACAGAATTTATCTGATTAGGCCTTGAAACAGTACAACTAGAATTAGTGAGATGGTAATACTATGTTCTTTGTCATAAATTCTATTAAAAATACAAACCAAAGAAAGAACAAAAAGAAGTGTCAGTGTGTGAACATTAATTTATATATTTACTAAAATGCTATTCTAAAATTAATATTTTATTTACACAGCTAATATATACAGGCATCTTTCGTCTAAAATTAGTTAAGACTAACGTTTCCTTGTCCACACCTTAATTCTTCCTTTGTCTCCTTTGAGGTTAGTTCTGTTACTGGTTTTGTATGTGCCTTTCCAACAACCTAAAGTGTGTGTTTACACAGTGATTTGATGCTGCTCCTCGTGCACATGCTAATAAGTTTACCCTGCTGTGTGTGTGAAAACAGCACAGTTTCTGAAAGCTCTTTTGCCCTAGGCTTAATTATCCAAGTGAATATTAAGATAAATGATGGGTCACTCCAGGAGAGAATATATTTGTGTATGTACATGTGTTTGCTATTGTGTTTGTAAATCTAGCACATGATATTCACAAGCCACTTTGCACCTCGGTTTCCTTATCCGTAATGCAGAGTGTAATTATGTAAAACAACACTAAGGTTTGGGTGAGCTTTCAGTTTCTATGATCCATTATTCTCAGTGCTAATATAGCTGAAAAGATGGCTATTACATAGGATTTATGCCTCCCCCCATAATATGTATAATTTTTGTTTACTGTAACCTACTATTATTTGTGAAAGTGATTAAAATAGATTTGCGTTGGTCAAATATTATGCGGGCTTGCTTTGACAACCTCTGGGTGACAATTCAACTGCTCAAGGCAGTTGATAATGACATAATTAAAGGGTTCACAAATTTGCAAAAGGAAATTTCTTTTTGGGCTCTGAAACTATGCATGTATATTTTATCTGAGCAACCCTGTGTATTTCTAAGGTCTGTATCCTGGTGTTGCATTTTTTGGTATTAGGATTTTGTTGTTGTTATCTCTTATGTTCTTCACTTCTCCCTCCTCAGTCTGATTTGCTGTTATTTTCCACACAGAATAGCCTGATGAAGATGAGAGGTCAGGTAGAGCAAAGCAAAGAGAAAGTGATTAAAATGGACTCATTCTTGGTTCCATAGGCCAGGAGAGAAGATCCAATAATGATAGCCTTTCACAGTACTTCAAGATTATTCTTTATGAGTTTTTTTGGTTCAATTCAGTTCCATTTAATCATATTAAATCCATCCTTTCATAATTGTCCTGGGTATTGAGCAGCTCATCATGCCAAACCTGGTGAGCAATGTTGGTAACTTGTATGATATTCTGCTGCCTTATTTCAGAGCTGCGAATTTAGATTTTAGCTTCTACAGCCCTTCTTGTAAGCTGTTCTCTTTCTGTCTCAAATTCACTGTTACACTTACTAAATCATTGGTAAATAGGGTTTGTTTTTAAACTTCCAAGCCTGTGGTTTCTATTTTTATGTGAAGGTCAATTTTAATCAGTTGGTTTTCTTCATCTATCTATTGTAATCATCTATTGGATGATTACAATGTTATCTGAGCAACCCTGTGTATTTCTAAGGCCTACATCCCGGTGTTGCATTTTTTGGAATTAGGATTTTGCTGTTGTTATTTCTTACATTCTTTACTTCTCCCTCCGCAGTCGGATTTGCTGTTACTTTCTACACAGAACAGTCTGATGAAGATGAGAGGTCAGGCAGAGCAAAGGCAAAGAATTGCTTTGTACAGAGCACTGTACACAGGAAAATAACACACTTGGAGTTCCCTATGGTGATTTTCAAAAGCAAACAAGGATAAATATGAAAAATATATGTTCATAATTTCACAGCCCAAGAAGAAATTACCTTTTGCAAATTTGTGAGCCCTTTAATTATGTCATTATCAACTGCCTGGAGCAGCTGAAATGTCAACTAGAGGTTGTCACAGTAAGCCCGCATAATATTTGACCATAAAAACAATATTCCTTTGATTGTCAGTGGCCACTTGGTTAAGGCATCTTTCTAATTTTACAAATGTCAGTGTCTTGCTTAGTTCACCCAGCCTCTGCCAGCCTTATCGCTTGTGATAGTCAGTTAAAAATTCCTCATAATGGGCCAGGGATATAGCTCAGAGGCACAAGCACCTGCCTGGCAAGTACAAGGTCCTGAGTTGGATTCCTGGTACCAAAAAAAAAAAAAAAATTCCTCATACTGAGAAGATTGGAAAGCAGTATAGATATATAAAGAAAAAAGCTCAAGTATCCTTTAATAATTACCAAAAGCATCTCCAGAGGAAATATGTTCATAAACATTGAATGAAATTGTTTTAAACCAATGCGAATTTAACATATCCTTTTTGGATTTAATTTGACATTAACTGTGTAATAGTCTTACAGTGGGGCAAAAGACAAAGTTGATGCTCCATTTTTAGAGATTGCCAAACATAGTGCTTTGTACATGTGGATAATCTGAGTCTCATTCTGAAACAGGTTTATTTTCATGAAGTCAGAAATTCCTTCATGATTAAGGAAGACAATACAAAGTGTATTAGTTTATCTTCTTATGAGCCAGGGATGCTCCCAAAGGTTTGCTCAGATATTTTTATGGTAATTGCTTTCAGATTTTAGGTGAGTGAGTGGGAACATTTTCTAGAGAACTGTGTAGTGCCAGTCCCAGATGTCTAGGGTGCTGAGAAATAAAGTTTAGATAACTTTTGTGCCAAAACATTAAAAATACTGTAATTATAAAGGTATCTCGAAGAGAGTTGCAGCTAAAATGATTTTTTAATATTTATTTTCTCAGTTTCGTAGGTCCTACCTTTAAACCAGTAGTAGTATAATTTGTTTTTCAATAAATAAAACTACATACTCCCTGGAGTACATGATGTTATAACAACAACAACAACAACAAAAATAACATTCTTTTCTTTCCTGAGGTCAGCAAGATAACACTCTCCAATTTCCTTTCTCTCTGGGTGAACTCACTTGCTTTTAACATTAGGGTGTCAGTCAATATCTAACTTGCTCTCAAATGACTTAGTTACTAAAATAATCTTCATAAAACTGTATATATCCTCTTCAATTTCACTATCCTGTAAGTTTGGTACATATCTCTGCAGTTGCATAATTTCATTTACATACTACTGCCAGAAATCACACTATAATTTTCAGTGTAGAATTACATGGAAAGTTTAATAATAGAGTGATAAGCATATTATATTAAGAATTTTGGAATGCTATACAAAGATTGAACTGTAGATATAGTTAATTAGAAAATAGATTTATTAATATTTATCATATGGTGGTCCTATTTACATTAAAAGTTTTTAGTACCACATTAGAGTGAAATGGATATTCCTTAATACTCTATTCCTCCTTTGCTGTGTATTATAAGTGCACGTTCTTGCAGAGCAAGGCTCCGTTCTTTTCTTTCTTTTTGAAATTCAGCATCAATCCATTAATTCAGGAGTCTGAAAATATTTTCTATAAAGTGCTAAATAATAAATATTTTCAGCTTTGATGCGTTTACTCAGTTCTGCTATTTAACTTAAAAGTGGCCACAGAAAATACAGAGACGAATCCGTGTAGTTGTGTTCCACTAAATCTTTGTTTACAAATGCAGAAGTGGATCCATGAGACCTAATCAGATGCTGAATTTCAGATACCCAAATCATAATTAATTGAGATGCTTGCAAGATCCTAAGTACTTTTTACAGCATCTTTGCTTCTCCCTGATTGGCTAGCATTCTGCTTCTGCATCTACTGGTTTATTTCCGCCTGTTTGAATTTTGTCCCCTCTTACTGTCTGTCATTGCTAAACGCACTATTGTTTGGCTTGTCCCTTCCTGTCAGGTTTGTCTCTGTAAGTCTCTCGTTCCTGCTGTGTCCAAGATGTAGTAGTTTTGGTATCTGACATATTCTCCATAAGCTCCTGAGACAATATTTATGCTTTTATTCATGGCTACCTATTCCTTTTAAGGATAGTTTTAGCATGGGCTAGTACACAGTAATAATCCACTGAGTAAAAAAATAGTGCCTGCTTTATATTTAATCAAATACATTTTATATACATAAGAGGAACAATTAAAAGCACATGGCAGGATGTTAGCAGAAATGGAAACTTGAAGAAATCCAGCATTCTCAGAAACACTGGAAAACATGGTGAAAACCACCAACACCAACTTTGTCAGAGCTGTGGAAAATAGTCAAAGATTTTAATTTAAATTTTAAAAAAGACAACTGAAAATGTGTGGGAGATCTTGTTGATGTTTTTCACTCACCCTTGACCCATGGCCACTTCTCTCAGCTTACTAGTGGTGTTTGAGGGCAACAACCCACACACCCAGTACAGTTGTGTCTTTGGACTCCTCTGAGAACTGCTTGGAGCTACAGGTAAAGGAATTATTTGTATATGTTTAGCCCCGAGCTCTCAGGATGGAGAAGTGGCAGCTTGGCTATACAACAGGCAGTGCTCAAAGTCCTCAAAGGCAAAAGACCTGTGTGATGCTCCCTAAGGAGAAGGATCTCGGGTTAGGAGTCTGGAAAAGGCCTGGGAGAAAAGGAAGGAAAGTGAGATACTTTTGAGGAACAGAGCCAGGAATCCACTAGGCCATGTTCATGTGCAACGTTGGAATCATGTTCAGAAGACACATAACATGGCCTAAGCATCTGCCTTGACTGCTCCCCAAGCTCTATGCAAATAAGAAAAGGCAAAGGAAGCAGCATGGAACGTGTGTCCCAGTGACAACACAGGAATGTGTGTCCCAGTGACAACACAGGCTACTAAGACAGGGAGATTTTTATGTTCTTTTCTATTTTCTTTGATCCAGACCTTTAAAGACTTCAATAACCATATGCAATATAGTATGCACACTTTTCAAAAAATAGTTGCCAGGTGTGGTGGCATTCGCCTGCAATCCCAGCACTCAGGAGGCTGAGGCAGGAGGATTGCTAAGAATTCGAGGCCAGCTTGGGCTACAAAGTGAGTTCAAGACCAGCCTGAACTGCATAGTGAGACCCTGTCTCAAAAAGACCAAAAAAAAAAAATAGTTTACAAAATAAATAAGAAACAACAATTTATGACAAGGAGCAACAACAAACTCCTGGGGGAAGGAGAAATCTGACTTTCTAAGTTCCTACGTTGTAATAGTCAAAGTGTCAAGTTGTCAACAAAGACCATGAGACATGCAAAGAAATAAAGTATGACACATTTATTATATGCACAAAAAGAAATGATTAGAAATTATTATTGACTTACTGGACAAAGATTTAAAATTCACTACTTCACATGCGTTCAAAGGTCAGAGTGGAACAATGGCCAAAAAACTAAAAGAAAGCAGGGGAAGAGTATATTATGAAACAGAGAATGTCAGATACTGTACTTTAAAGAAGGAAATCAAATAGAAGTTATAGAATGGAAAATAATGCAATACCTAAATTGAAAAACACACTGGTAGGTATCAACAGTAGCATTCAGGAGACAGAAGAAAGAATCAGCAAACTTAAAGATGGGGATGATTAAAATCATGATTGAAATCATCTAGTCAGAGGAGCACAAAAAAAAAAGAAGGAACATATCTCTACCAAGAAATAGAAGACAATGGTTGGGGATATAGCTCAGCGGCAAAAGTGCCTGCCTGGCGAGTGCAAGGTCCTGAGTTCAATTTCTGGTACAAAAAAAAAAAAAAAAAAAATAGAAGACAGAATACTTCCTAACTAATTCTATGGGGCCAGTATGACACTGAAACCAAGGCCTAAGATATCTCAAGCAAAGAAATAGTAGACCAGTATCTCTAATCAATATATATGCAAAAAATTCTCCACAAAATATTTGCAAACTAAAGTCAGTGGCATATAAAAGAATCATATACCCTGATCATGTGAGATTTATTAAAATCAAAATAAATCATATAATACATCACATTATCAAAATGAAGCAAGAAATAAGTGCTCATATAAGTTGTTGCAGAAAAGCATTTAATAATATCCAACAAACTTTGATGAGCTAAAAACACTCAACAAACTAAAAATAGAGGTAAATTTACTCAAAATGATAAAAGGCAACTTTAAAACCCATAGCTAACATCGTATGCAGTGAAATAATCTTCTATAACATCAAGAACAAAAGAATACTAGCTTTTGCTATTTTATGCATCATTTTACTGAACATCCTGGCCACAACAATAGCCAAATAAAAAACATAAAAGTCATTCAGGTTAGGGCTGGGGATTTAGCTCAGCGGCAAAAAGCGCCTGCCTGGCAAGCGCAAGGTCATGAGTTTGGTTCCTGGTACCGGAGAAAAACCAAAAAAAAAAAAAAAGTCATTCAGGTTAGAAAGGAAGAAGTGAAACTATTTTCACAAAGGACACAATCGTATACAGAATGTGTTTTAAACAAGACACACACAAACACACACAAATGACTAACATTAATCAATTACTCAAAGTTGTGGACTACAAGGTCAATACCAAAAGTCAGCTATACTTTAACCCATTGATAAGCAGTAATTCAAAATTTTTAAGAAAAAACTGCTTTCACAAGAGTATCACAAAGAATAAAATATTTAGGAATAAATTCAGCCAAGGAGATGAAGTTTTTATACATTGAAAACTACAAAGCAATGCTAAAAGGAATTCAATGAGAAATAATAAAAGGAAAGACATTCTTCATTCAGAAATTGGAAAGTTCACCAGTGTTAAGATGGCAATACTCCCCGAGCTGATCTACAAATTGAATGCAATCCCTATCAGATTCCAGTGGCCTTTTCCCCTACAGAAATGAAACAAATTCAAACTGAAATTCATATGAAATTGTTAATTATTCTGAATAACCAAACTAATTTTGAAAACAAATTAAATGGAATTCTTCATAGTCCCCAATTTCAAAATGTACTGCACAGCTACAGTAATTAAAACAATTTGGTATTGACATAAGGCTAGCCATACAGAAAAATTGAACTAAAGTAGAAGTGTAGAAATTTAACCACACTTCTTTGGCCAAATGACTTTTGACATAGATGCTATGAACATCCAGTGGAGAAAAATAGTCTCTTCAAGAGGTGCTGGGACAACTAGATATCCACCTGCAAGAGAATGAAGTTGGGGAGGGTGCAGCTCACAGACAGAGGCTTACCTAGCATACGTTTGTCCCTGGGGTCAGTCTCCAGTACACTAAAAAAGAAGAAAAAGAGATAAAGCTGGACTCAGATCACATCATATGAAAAATTAGCCCCTCCAAATGAATCAAAACTCTAAATGTTTGATTTCAAACTACAAAAAACATAGAAGAAGCCAGTATGATGTCCTATACCTATAATCCAAGAACTTTGGGAAGATGAGGAAGGAGGATCACAAGTTTGAGCCCAACCTGGGCAACCTAGTGACTTACAGAGACCTTGAAACAAAACAGAAAGTAAATAGGCTGGGGATGTAGTTTACAGCAAAAGCTCTGGATTTAATCCCTAGTACTGAGAAAACAATAACAACAACAACAACAAAAGTCTTCTTAGAAGAAAACATAGGAGTAAAGATAAACTCTGCATTTTGTATTTGGCAATGAATGCTTAGATAGAATACCCAAAGCATGAGCAAAAACAACAAAGTGCGTAAATTAGACTTCATAAAATTAAATTATTTGTGCATCATAGGACACTATCATTCTTGATATTTGATATATGGTTTGTAATCTTATATACACAAAGAGCTTAGTGTCCACTATATGTAAAGAACTCTTACAAGTCAACATAAGACAAATAATCCAATTTAAAAATTGGCCTCAGACCTAGACATCCCCCTAAGGAACACAAAAGCCAATAAGTTCATTGTTATTAAGGAAATGGTAATCCCAACCATAATGCTACACTACTTTATACTCCCTAAGATGACTAATTTTTTAGAAAAGAAAAATAATAAGCATTGATGAGTATGCCAAGAAATTGGAAGCCTTATGCATTGTTGGTGCCATTGTAAATAATAAAGCTGCTATGGAAGAGTTTGGCACCTCCTCAATAAGTTAAATAATTTAAACAATAATTACCATGTAACCCAACAATTCCACTATTAGGTTTACAGCCAGACAAGTTTAAAATATGTAGGCATGTCATCAAAAATATTTTTATACAGGAATATTTGGAGCAGGCTATTTCCAACGGCCAAAAAAAATGAAAACAGCTGAAGTATCTCCTAATGAAGTAATAACTAAAATATACTGTATCCATGCAATGGAATATCACTCAGTCTCATAAAGAATGAAATACTAAACACGATACAACATAGATAAACTTTTACAACATTACGCTTAGTGCAAGAAGTCAAATACAAAAGTCCACATATTTTATGATTCTACTTATTTGGAATATGCCACCCCAAAGGAAAATTCAAGTGAGAGAAATTAGTTTAGTGATAGCCACTAGCAGGGTGGGAATGAGGGGAAGGAGAGGGGGAATGACTGCTTAATCACTAAGGGTTTTCTTTTGGGTGATAAAAATGTTCAGGAACTAGAGTGATGGTTATACAGTACCAACATCAAGACTGTATCAAAAGTGCTCTGGAACTATATAATTTTGATGGTTGCTCATGATTGTGAATGTACTCTATGCTACTGAATTGAATCCTTAGAGTGGTTACAATGGTAAATTTCATATTGTTAGAGTCCCAACTCCCCTCCAACACCACCCCCAAACTACAAAAGCAGCCCTGCCTCCCCGACAGATAGCAAATTACATGAATATATTTTTTGAGTTGGAAGAGAGAGTGAGTCAACTTGAGAAGAACATACACTCAAGATTTCAGTGAAAAGTCATTGACATTATTAAAGGACAAGAAAATTGGATTTTGCATGTGACAAGAGCTGAAAAGAATAGGTATTAACTGGCCTAATGGAGAATGAACTGAAGACATGTAATAGCTGGCACCAGGTACTGTATTAAATGTAACAACCTCTGAAAATAAGAGAAGGCTGTAAGAGAAGGCTGTTACAATAGTGATCCCTCTCCGCCAGCCTCGCTGCAGTCTGGAGGAGTCCACATTTGTAATGTCAGGGAAAAGTTATAGGAATTCCAGTAAGTAATTCTGATCTACCACTTCCAGGGCAACCCATGGCTGGAATAGACACAACAACATATCTGCAATGGTGGGGAGCCACAGGGGTCCTTAGTCCAGCCAGAACAACGGATAACCAGAACAAAGACTTCTACCCAGGGCCAAACAGAGCCTTTGTTCATTCATGAAGAGGGCAGTGGCTCAGGGATGAGTGACTGTGAGAATGGTGGGAAGTTTGTGAATGCTGTGAACCTAATTAGGTAGGCCAGATAGCATCTTTGTAATAAGCAGAGAGAGACAGAGAGAGAGAGAGAGAGAGAGAGAGAGAGAGAGAGAGAGAGAGAGAGAGATGCAGAAAGAGTAATCTACATAACACAGTTTGAGGAAGTACCTGTGGTCAGTGCTTTAGCTTTGACATGTAGCCTTCATACCCTGAGGCGCAAGGATTTCTCCAGGTTCAATCCCACCGACAGTGGGACACTGCTGTGTCACTTGGCATACTAACAGGAAGCTACAGGCGGGGCATCACTGACTTCTCATTGCTATAAAGACTATACATCAGCACCTCCACTAGATCCGTTTGCATTGCTTAAAGCCAATTGAGGGGATAAAGAAATATCCCAGCCAGCTCTGTACATATCAATACATGGAGTCAGGGTCAGGTTTAACCAAAATGGAGACAGATGCTCTTCTGTCGAGGAGGGCCATCATGGTGGTCCTTCACAGGTTGTGATGTTTCAAGGATAGAGAAAATGCTATATTTTTGTGACTATTTTGATATTTTTTTCTTAGACAAAATTTTGTGCACTACTTTAAAAGTGTGAGAGCCAGTGCAGTGGAAGTGACAGCTGTGCCCCAGTAACCTCTGTGATGGTGACAGGTAGTAAAAGACCTGATTTGCCTTGCCTGCTGCTGCACACCTGTAATCCCAGCATTTGGGAGGCTGAGGCAGGAGGATTGCTGTGAGTTTGAGACCAGCCTGGGCTACAAAGTGAGCTCAAGGCCAGCCTGAACTACATAGCAAGACCCTGTCTCAAAAAGACCAAAAAAAATGACCCGACTCACCTTTGTCTGGTACAGGGACAATTATTTTGAATGTTTTCTGCTCAAAGACACAGAGGGAAATTGTCATCACTTTTTCCTAAATGTTTGCTCCTGTCTTTGGCTCTTCTTTTCAGGCAGATCGGAGGTTGACCTATCAAGATGATAGATGAGGAAGATGAACTCCATGGTGTCTTTAAAAGAAGCTTCTTTAATGACCAATATAACAAATCACGTAAGCACAATTTTTAAGTGCACTTTTCCTTGGAAACATTTATATAGAATACGTTTTCCTGTATAAAAAGTGATTTCATTGTCATTTTGTTCAAGGGGAATGCCTGGGTTAGCTCACCACTGAAGTACTTTTTCATTTAAGGGAAGTAGTCAGATCCTGTCGTTATCATTACTCTCCTTGAATTCAGAAATTCTTAGAAACAGAAGTACTGGTAAAATAGAATGTGATGCTTCATCAATCCGATTTAATTTTAGCTCTTTTTATAGATACAGCGTATCATTACGGTGGTTCCAAGAAAGCCAGAAGCATGGCCATAAGTGAGAAGCACATTCTATTGATATAAGGGAGAAAACCCCCAACCTGAACGATATCTGGGATGAGTTCGTGTTCTCTAAAATCAAAGAATGGATTTTAGGAACAATGGAGATTAAGAGCAGAATTTATTGCAGGAAAGAAAGCTTCTGTCCGAGAGAGGGACAGAAGGGGGCCAATGGGTTGCTGACAATCCTGTCTTTCCTAAGGATTTTATAGAGCAAAAGCATGAGGTGAGGCGGGTCCAAGGTGGGGGAAAAATGGGAAATCACAAGGTGGGCATGAGGTGGGACAAAGCTATGGTCAGCCTACAGGAATTGTTTAGGTAAAATTGATTAAATCAGGATCAAATGGAGAAGCAAGTCACATAGCAAGCAGGCATGAATACAGAACAGGGGCTTTTCCTGTAAGGGGTTGGATCAGTGACTCTTCAAGGTGATCGCTACCTATTTAGAATATCAATCCCTGATGTTGATCCCAAGGGAGGTATGTGGGTGCATTTGCTTAGTCCTTTGTCTTGAGGTCTGGAGTGCAGCAAATACATCTCCATTTGCAAGGTATAAGTCTTCCATATTGGCTCCTTCAAAAGCCTGGCCCTATCTGACTGCCTATAATATTTCTATCTAACTCAGCTGCCTATAACACTATCATTTCAGAAAGGAAAACAAAATCCAACACCAGCCTGTTAAACTATGGAAATGTGGCATCAATTGTGCTAGATTCCTGCTATATGTAGTGTAAATGCCAGTGAGCTGAAAAACATCCCAAAGGCTCTTTCAACTAAGCATAATACAATATTTTATTCCCATAATCTTGTCAACATTTAGACTACATGTAAATGTGCATAAAGAACTAAAAAATAACAGCTACTTAAAGCTAAAATCAAGAACTCTTTCTGACAACAATATATATTAGCATTCTGAAAAACTTTTCATTTATCAGTGACTGAAACTGGTAGCTAAGAAATGCACCTTTCTAATTGATCAGCTGACTCAGCCAGAGAGTAAGGGAAAAGTCAGAACTGAAGTCATGGCAAAGCTGAAATTTAGTGACATAAACAATCACTCCTACTACTTTGAAATACTACTGTTTTGAACATCCTTCAATCTTCAGTTTCCTAGAAATGAGCTCATACATGGTGTTGGAGACAGGAAGAAGGTAGATTCAGGAGACAATACTTAGTGCAGATAAGAATACAACAAAAATGAAAATGCCTTTATTGTAGGTGCAGAGAAGACCACAGTAGAAAGGAAGGACATGGAGCTTCCGAAGGCCTGGCCTGAGGCAAAGGTTAAATAGGGTCAGGCTGCAGGCGGGGTTTAGGGAATGGACTGCCTGATGTGGCAGACCGGGATTGGGCAGGAACATGGGGAAAGGGAGACAGGATATTACAAGAAGGGAAGAAGGAAGCCATAATTTGATTCAGAGGAAGAAGGGTGGGGCTTAGCACATGGCCTCTAGAAGCCAGCACCATATTGGCTGGGCGCCATACTGGCTCAGCACCACAGCACATGACCTCCAGTGTGTAGTGCCATAGCAGTTACA